ATCCGGAACTTCTATTGACAGACAATCAACATCAACCATCAGGCACTTGAGCGGCGGCATACGGCGGAGCTTTGGCAAACAAAAAGCAGGGGGGAAAAATCAAAGACCGACCGCAAGATATCACAGATTTTCATTATGAAGCATTTAAGCCAGGACAATCGCAGGACTAACCACTCCCCAAGCTTCTAACTAAGCCAACCCACCACCACCCAAAGGTCGTCCCTTTTCTCGGGGGTTGACTTTTCCACTTCTTTTTTTCGGCACCAGCTTCGTTTCGGTTTTGGTTCTGATTTCGTTTTTCAGCAAATTAAATTAGATGCTTAATATGCAGCGAACGTTTCATTTGTTTTGCGGCTAGAAAATCAACGTGGAAAATTAGGCAAACAAAGCTCTTGGCCTCGGGGATAACGACGATGGCATGGCATCATTCGCAGGCCCAAGGCGGCGACACATCCCTCATTCTTGTTCTTTTGGCCTTCGAAAGTCCACGAATCCGTATACGAATCCGGAGCTCAACCTCTAATGAGGCGCATTACTTTCGGCCACAGATTTGAAATCATTATCCCATTGGAACTAATCCCAGACCAGACCGGACCGGACCAGAGTGAAGTGGAGTGGCGTGGAGAGCTCTCTGAAGCTGGAGCCCCGGCATTTGTTAATTTCGTGCAAACATCCGATGCCAATGACGACCGGCGGCTGGGCAAATATTGGCCCACTGGCCTGGGACCTGAACGGACAACGGGCCTTGATTGCCACAAAACAGATTGCCAGAGCCGCCTATTGTCGATAGATTCGATGGATTTGGGTAGGGAACAGACCTCAATATGATTAAGATTCAATAGAATTAAGCACTTCCTATCTTAGGTACTAATACGAATTTAATCTAAAATTAAATCTTATTTAAATCATAAAATTTAAAAAAGAAATCAATTTATAACAGGAATAACAAGAGAGAATTTAATTTTGGGAAGACAGAGCGTGTATACCCTTTATTAAACGATTAATTGATTTGAAATCGATTATAACTAATCCAAGTTTGACTTGAAAAGCCTTTCTCTAAATAATAAATGCCTATATTAAAGATACAAATTTAAATAAAATTTTCGAATTTCTTCCAATACTTTATCAATATTTTATTAAGAGTTTGATTGCATATCGGAAATATATATCACAATCATTGTCTATCATTAGTTTATGCTTTCAAAAGGTAATGAATATTTTGCATTTTTAAATCAATATTTATCAATCTTTTTATATGCATTTTATTTGCATAAATCAAACTTTAGAAAATCCATAACTCAGCCAAAAAAAATAATTAATTTTAATTCGGAAAGCTTTCCCCTGTTAGTTTTTTATGGGGTAATAAATCTGCATACTCAGTTTAAAATGTAAATTTTGGTCGATTTTTGCAAATTTTAATGATGTAACCCCTTTTCTTTTTTCCAAAAATTTAAAATTTTTGGAAAAATTTTTTTTTCTACCAGATTTAGCTAGAAAAATTCGCCTGTTGATCCGGATAAAGAATATATATAATTTATAGGGTCGGAATCATTTCCTTCTCATAATAACAAGCTTCTGACTGATATTATAGACCAGGCAAGCTATTAAAAATAAATAATTTACGTAAGTTAAGCAATTTTAAAATTAAATTGACAATTCAATATTGAAAATACAAACAAGAATGGAAACTAACTTCGGGCCACCCAAGTTTATCTACCCTTGAAATTTGTTTATTGATTTATAGGATAGAACTGGCAAATCGATCTTATCTAAGCTTAAAAAATTCCCATTTTTATGAATATTTTTATATGAAAATTTTTTTGGAAAAATCATAGTTTAAAAATCTCATAACTCTGCCAAAAAAGCATTAATTTCAATTCGGAAAGCTTTCCCCTGTTAGTTTTTTATGGGGTAATAAATCTGCATATTCAGTTTAAAATGTAAATTTTGGCCGATTTTTGCAAATTTTAATGATGTAACCCCTTTCCTTTTTTTGCAAAAATTTAAAATTTTTGAAACAATTTTTTTCTGCCAGATATAGCTAGAAAGATTTGCCTGTTGATCCTGATCAAGAATATATATAATTTATAGGGTCGGAAATGACTCCTTCACATAATAACAAGCTTCTGACTGAAATTATAACACCAGGCAAGCTATTAAAAATAAATGATTTACGTAAATTAATCAATTTAAAATTAAATTGATAATTCAATATTGAAAATACAAACAAGAATGGAAACTAACTTCGGGACACCCAAGTTTATCTACCCTTGAAATTTGTTTATTGATTTATAGGATAGAACAGGCAAATCGATTTTATCTAAGCTGAAAAAATTCCCATTTTTATTAATATCTTTATATGAACATTTTTACGGAAAAATCAAAGTTTAAAAATCTCATAACTCTGCCAAAAAATCATTAATTTTAATTCGGAAAGCTTTCCCCTGTTTGTTTTTTATGGGGTAATAAATCTGCATACTCAGTTTAAAATGTAAATTTTTGCCGATTTTTGCAAATTTTAATGATGTAACCCCTTTCCTTTTTTCCCTCTTTTGCAAAAATTTAAAATTTTTGAAACAATTTTTTTTCTGCCAGATATAGCTAGAAAGATTCGCCTGTTGATCCTGATCAAAAATATATATGATATGTTGGATCGGAAATTATGTCTTCACTGCAATTTAAACTTCAGATTCAAATGATAATAACCTGCAAGAGTATATAATATCTTATATCTATATTCCTGGATCTACATATGTATATTATTAATAGATCAAATCGAAAAACAGGACCTTAAAAACTCTCTAAAACATATCCAGATTTAATCCCAAATACCAGATATGTAATTATTTAATCTATCACATTTGTTCTATATTCATTTTGTTATTCCATTTTCTGTTTTACTCTCTCTATTCTCCCGATTTTCTTGGGACATGATCTGGCATCACCTATGTCTTAGGGCTGTCCACCTCATAAACTTCCAAATTTTAAATATAAATTCATATCGAATAGCGCCCGATAACTCAAACAATCGAATTCCGTTGAAAAAGCCCGACCCTCCATCATTTCGCCAGAAATTTAGAACAAGAAAGGTTGAAATTACAGAAAATTGAAAGAGTGCAGTTCTTATATAAAAAAAGTGAAAATAAGTGAGATATAGAAGAAAATAGTGTTCTGTTTTACAAGAAGAAATGGTACATAAGTAAGAAAATTGAAACCGAAATATTTAATTTGCATAAGAAATTAAACGTGTGTCCGCGTGTGTGGGTGTTATATAGTTTTTTTATGGTCTTAAACTTTTAAATAATGCATAAATTTATACTTCCTAAAAAAATATATCAAGGTCCTTGTGTGTTTTATACATTTTGTTTCAAAAGGAAAACGGAACTCTTCAATTTAATAGAGGTTCAAGTGGAAATTTTCGCAGGCACGCATGCGCACATGCTTACACATACACACACATACAAGTTTCGTTCGCTTTTTTTTGTGGTTGAAGATGCACACTTATACAATCACACACGCACACATAAAAAATGGTCGCCATTTTCATTCCTCTTTAACCCTACTTTTTGATTTCAATTTGGGGTTATGTTTCGGTCGTTGTTCAAAGAATATCTGCTGTTTGATTTTGTTTTGCTTTTAAACTATTTTTTTTAACCTATAATAAAAAAATATAATATTATTTTCATGCATAAAAAGAGTTGAAACCACCCAAGAAGAAAACTTATAATTAGATTCAAAGGCGATTCATCATCTGTCAAAATGATGATGAATTAAATTGGCCAAAAAAGCGACATCAGTAGAGGCTCCAAGTTGCTCCAAACACTGGCATGTCATGTACACGGATGCATGCCATGTGCAATCCCCGAGTTTGTAGACCCCCATCTCCGAGTGACCACAAATTGAAATTGACCCTAGACGCGGACTGAGGAGGGACTGGGGGACAGGCACTGGAAATCGAAATCAGAATCAGTAACAGAAACAGAAACAGAATCTGAATCCAAATCCGAGTCCGAGTTGGAGTTGGAGTCCAAGCTGGGACATTTGTATGCAAATTCGGTGATTGCTCTCCGCAGATCCACAGATGTGCGCCGGTTGCTGGTCGAGAAACCACAGGCAAGACGGTAGGAGCGACCACACAATAAATGGGCATAAATTACACGACCCGAAGGCGGAGCCACCACAGACAGTGGATGTGGCTGCGGCTGTGGCTGTGGCTGTGGACGTGGACTCTGGGATATGGCGGCTCCAAAATTGATCATTTCTCCTTGGGATGTGGCGCTGGCGGCGTCTGTGGGATGATGATGATGGAGCTGGAGCTGGCGCCATCGGAGTGCGGCGTTGCCACTTGAATTTTTGATTTAACAAATACTCATTTGTAAAACGGCCAGAGCAGACCAGGACAGCTCCGCCTCTTGCTCCCCCTCCATGCCCAGTTTAAAATTCAAATGCACCCAAGGACCAGAAGAGATGGGGGAAGGTAAAAGACAGACCCACAAACTTTTGCCCAACTGCCAAACTGGCAAACAATAATAATGTCACGTTTATCGTGTGCAGCTAATTACTAACAAAAAGATAGTTTGTAATCCTACACACAGAGCGAACAGCAGCGAATGCTTGGAGAGCCCAAGACCGAACTTGGCCACAAGAGTTAGCCAAGCGTGGCCGAAAAGCGCCTCCAGGACGTAAGACAACAGCAGACGACGACCACCACCACCACCATCAACCACCGCTGCCAGTAGCCTGTATTTTTCGTTAAGCGAGCAAACTTTTGCCAGAAAGCAAAGTAAAGTAAAGCAAACCAAAACCAGAGACGAAACTTGGCCAAAACATGTGCTGATCCACAAATCTTGGGCCAGAGAGTTTTCGGGCATTAGCACACGCCTGAGTGTCTTAGCCATCAAAACACACGCCTCGAGCGCAATTTTGCATATTGGCCAACAGATGCTACGAGTTAGCCGCTTTGGGGGATTAGGCCAAAGCTGCTCCCAAAAGACTGCATACCCCTTTAAACAATATAAATATATTTTTTTCGGTATAAATCTTGTGCCGTTTCTCAACAATGTGCCACGACAAAAAAAAAAATAATAATAATATAGAAAAAAAAAAACAAGAAAGACCTGCTCCTTATCATATCAAAGTCAAGTGACTGAGCAAGCAAACATTTTGGTTATCATCTCTCACTCATTACACAGTCAGAAAATGTTACAATATATGCATATATATATGCGAAAAAGAACAGTATCAAAGCGTTTATCATTATTGTATTTTGTTATAGTAAATCACAAGTCCCTTTGTAAAAATTGACAATCTGATTCAAAGAAATGCTTTGATACTGCCTTGTTTTGTTTTGTATAATATATAATATTCTTCTCCCTTCCCTTCTTTTTTTGTATGGTTTTTTGTATGGTTGCTACCATTTTGTCTATCTAAACTTTTCGCTCGATTCCTTTCCTTATGCCTGCCTACTAAATCGAATAATATCGCTTTCCTTTTTTTGAGACTCAAGTTGAACTAGAAACGAACGAGAGCTGAGCACAGTCGGAAGATGATCCTCCTCCTCACAGCGTTCCGTTGGCGTGCCGGTGCCGGTAACAACTCCAGCACCGCCAAACGAGAGGAGATCCGCCTGATCCGGCTTGTCACGTGTGGCATGATAAGCCTCGCGCTCCCGATCTGGAAACTTGGTGGGCAGATTCGGTGAATGCAGATTAACCTTGGCCTCAAATCTTACACCGGCCACCTCCACCTCATAGTGACCAGAGAGGACATATTCATTGGTCACCGGCAGTTCGCCGCCTGCCTCATCAAAGTTGCGCACAAATCCGAGGCAGACCTGCTTCTCGAACGTGTAACCATAGCCGGTGGTCGTGGTCATGCCCACATAGACGCCGTCGCGGTAAATGGGCTCACCGCCCCAGCACCACATATCCACTTCGTGATCGTGATCGTTGAGCAGCAGCTGCACATACATACGCTTCACACCCTCCTCGCGTTGCTTAAGCAAAGCACTGCGCCCAATAAAGTCGATGGGTTTCTGTGAAGTATTTAAGAATTGAATCAAGAAATTAGTTGGCTGACAATCCTGCCAAGCTGCCAAAGAACTTACATTGAACTTGACGCGCCAACTGCGACCGCATTCCAGGGGTGTGGTAAAGGTATCCAAATCTTGGCCCCAAAATGCATAGAACTTTTCAATGCGCAGGGCTCGTGTGGCATAGTAGCCTAAAATGAATAAAAAACAATATAAAATTCATGAAATACCAATAGATCTCTATCCAAACTCACCTGCATGCTGTATATTAAACTTCTGGCCCGCCTGATAGAGCCTGGAGTACACATGCAGAGCATATTCGTTGGGTATATAAAGGACATAGCCCAATTCGCCAGTGTGGGTGATGTTTAGCACTCGAATGCCATCCGCCAAACCCACATCCAGTTCCTGCAAGGGATTCAAGCAAAGGTTGGAGTGTTTCCTGGAGGATACACACATTAACTACTTACCTTGTACGTGAAGAAGGGGAAGCTCTTGGGCGTGAGATCCGTGTCGGTGAGCTCGGACAGCAGGATGCGCGAATAGGGTCCCAGAATGCAGATGGCTGTATACATTGAGGTGACATCCGCCACGTTCACTTTGGCCTTGAGATGATCGGGCATGTGCTTGCGTATCCAGCACATGGAGCGTGTCTGCTGAATGGTGGGAGCAATCATCATGTAACTAAAGGAGAGAAAAGAGTATTAAGTCTTGGTAATACCATCTCCTTTGTGTTAACTCACTGTCGTTCTGAGAGCCGGGCCAGGGAGCAATCGTTCTCGTAGCCACCATTGGGATTCTGCATGCCCGTGTGTATGATGGAACCCACAGCCACATCCACATCGTTGGAGCACAGATACTGTAGAAGATCCACTACCTCATTGCCCTTCGACCAGAAGTCATACTTGGTGAAGGAGCTATAGTCAGCGATGCCAATACGCTCGCGACAGGCTCGATACTCGGAGGCCACATGATCGAACCACGGCGGCTTGCCAAAGGTGCGAGTCTGGGCAATACGGAAGCGGGGCAAACCAAACTCATCTGCGGAGATAGAGGGAAATTAATTAAGTAATGAAGTGTGTAGATAAATTTTTCTTAAAGAACCCTATTCTCACTATACACATTTATCTTATATATTTCTCTGTTGGTGATGGTTTTATGCTGTTTACTGGATTTTGCTATGGCTCAGTACACCGCTTGCTAACCATTTATTATTGTTACCAAAATCTACCTATAAAAATTTACTTTAACTTTTTAAATCCTCAAAATCATAAACATGGTGATGCCGGTTAGGTGCTGCAATTATTCATAACCTTGAGTTTTCAAAATGGGGCTTAAAGAATTGCACCATATAGCCATTGTCAACCATAAACATAAGGATTAATAGGGTAAGCATTACGTCTGATAAATAATAATTATATTTTTTAGTCTTTGATATATGTATATACTAATTCCTTCTCTTTTCTTTATGTTTATACCTTTTCCAAAAAATATTCTAGTTAATACACACCTTGTTTATCCTGCTGATCAAAGTAGTTGGGTCGCTCGTACCCCATCGACTGGCCAAAGACAGCGCCCGCCTCCTTCAGCTGGGGATAGATGGGTGACATGCGCAGATTCCGTCCGGTTTGGAACTCCTCAAACGGATAGTTGATCTCAAAGTGCTTGCCAGGTGCCTCCTTGCAGCGATCTCGCAGGAACTTGCGATTGTTATGCAGCCCCAGGAACCGACTAATGTCCAAAATGTGCAGATCCAGATAGGTAGAACCCTTCGTAATCAGATCGGTGAGTACGCGTCCAATGCCTCCCGAGGCGGAGACTCCCATTGTCTTGTTGCCAGCAGCCACATAGTAATTCTGTATCTCTGGCGCCTCGCCCAAAATCCATTTGCAGTCAGGCGAGAAGACCTGCAGCGAGTTGGTCAGCCGATCGAGCGTAGCTTCACGGAAGGCGGGTACCCGGAGCAGCAGGGCATCGAGGAGCTCATGGAAGTGGTCCCAATCAGGTGGATGTTGCCTGGCCGTTTGCGATAGCGGTATTACACCATCCTCATAAACCATCTTGGCCTCACGCTCGAAGCCACCGGCGAGAATATGACCCTCGCACTCGCGGAAGAAGATGCGTCCGTCGAAATCCCTGACGAACGGTGTGTCTGGACTTAGTCCCTCGATGGGTCGCGTGTGCAGATAATGATGCTCCACCGCTTTCAAAGGCACCTTTACCACCGGCTTGGACAGAGTGCCCACCTCGCGGGCCCAGAAGCCTGTGCAATTGACAAAGTAGTCGCACTCCACGTCGCCGGCCGTTGTCTCCACACCGCGTACCTTTCCATGCTCGCTGTGAATCTTCTTGATGGCACAATGCTCCACCACACGGACGCCCAGGCGCTGGGCCTCTGTGAGATAGGCCTGGCACACCAGCATTGGGTCACACACTCCATCCTCGGGTATCCAGAGGCCACCCTCGATGCCGTCCAGGGAGAGCAGGTCACAGTGGTCGCGACACTGCTCTGGCGAGAGAATCTCGCAGTGCATGCCCCAGGCCACCGCCTGTGACTTCATCCGATTGAAGGCCGTCATTCGGTCCCAGCTGCGTGCCAAGTTCAGGCTGCCCACCTGACGCCAGCCGGTGGGCAGTCCCTGCTCTGCCAGCCGCTTGATCAGATCGATGGAGTACTCGGCCAGCTTCAGTTCCGTGTAACTGGGCTCGAAGCGACCGGCCAGCCCGCAGGCTGTCCATGGCAACTCGCCGCCCACACGATCCTGCTCCACGACCAGCGTCTCGCCGCCCCAGCCGCTCAGGCCCAGGTGATAGGCCACCGAGGCGCCGGTGATGCCGCCGCCACAGATCACAACGCGGGCCTTTGATGGCAGTTGGCCAGCCAGCTCCTCGCTGAGATCTGGTGCCTGTTGTGGCTTGAATTTGCGCTTCCTCAGCAGGGGCTCATCTGCCGCTGCCGCCGCCGATGCATCCGACAGCTGACGCACTGTGCCCGCGGGCAGAAGCCATCTCCTAGCTGCTCCGCCGCAACGCCGTCCGCCCACATCCAAGAGTTTCAACATCTTGTCCCCCAAAAATCGCCGGACACATAAGCAAGGTAAAGGAATCTCAACGAATCTTACTTTAAATCTCCGAATCTCTACGCAAATTTCCAGAAAACTACTTGAAAGATTCACCGTTTTCGGGAATATTTTGAATATACGCAGCTGGTCACACTAGGCAATATGTTATTGTGCTGCCATAAACAGCTGATTGCTGCCATACACAGGCTAACTAAAATTAGCTATAAACTGTATGGCATGCATTTTATGGTGTGATTGCTCGGGAAAATGCATATATGCATATATTTATATGCAATGCATAAAAGAAAAATTACATAACATTTATTTATATTTATATGCATTATTTAAAAGGGAAATAACATAAACACAACGACCACATATATAGATATCTAAGAGTGTGTGACGAAATTCATCGTCAACTCTTAGCTTCCACATATTTTCACTAAAATCATAGCAGTTATAGGGTTTCACTAATTTGGTCAAGAACCATCCATGGCCAAATTCAGAATCCGTTTATAGTGAAAGCGTGATTTTTAAAAATCCTCACCTCTTTCATATGTATAAAATCGTATACTTCAATTACTACAAATTAATATCATGACAAAAAAATAAAATAAATAAAAATAATAAGAGCATTGAAAAAAAATATATAATAATATAAATATAAAATATAATATAAACTTTTACCAAGATAAACAAGTGAGAATTGTTCGGAACGGGATTAAAAGCGGTCTATTTGAAGTTATCTTACCGTCAAATATATTTTTTATAGAAATTATATTGATGGTAAAGGTAAATAAAAAATAGATTGCATCGCAAACCCAAGTGTGAAGATAAAACAAAAAATGAAAAATCCAAGCCTTGATATTATTTAGCAAAACTTTCATCAGTCTTGCCTACAGCACCATGTCCAAAAGATTACTTTCAAGGTCTTTTGGCTTGGTCCTGGAGAAAGGAATGAGGTGTCTGCCACAAAAAATAATAATAATACAAAATAATTCAAACCAAATGCAGACAATAATTGAGTTAAAATTGTGCTGAAACAGTGGGATTTTTTCTTCACGAACACTTTCAAAAGATTACTTTTAATATCTTTTGGGAGTATTCTTGAGGAAAAAGGGCTGCTAATGTTGAAAACCAAATGAAACGAATAAAATAAAATAGAAAATGAACCTAAAATTAAATTTATATTGCATAGCAAACCCAAGTGTGATAATAAAATAAAATGAAAAATCCAACCCCCTGAGCAAAACTTTCATTAGTCTTGCCTTCAGAACCATGTCCAAAAGATTGCTTTCAATGTCTTTTGGTTGGCACCTGAAGAAAGGAATGATGTATCCGACAAAGAAAAAAAAATAATACAAAATATTTCAAATAAAATACAGACAATAAACAAGTGAAAAATGTGTTTCATTTTTAATGAAACATTTGCATTTTATCGTCACGAACACCTCCAAAAGAGTACTTTTAATGTCTTCTGGTCGTATTCTTGATAAAAAGGGCTGCTGATGTTAAAAACCAAACAAAAAGAAAACAAAAAATTTTTTAAATAAACTGTGAATTAGCATTCTTTTTATGCTATCGTACTTTCATCAGTCACCTTGTCACAGGCTCTATCTTGGGAGTGTGTTTTTAAAAACATCTCAAGATTGGGTTTGTGGTATTGTGATTGGTGAGCTACTTCTGGGAAGTGAAACCAAACACCAAGTAAATATTGCTGTATTTTATAACAGACTTTTCAATAATAAGATGCATAACGATCATAAATTTAAACATCAGTTTCAAATTATAATATCCTGCGAAGGTATAGAAACCGAAAAATAAAATGTGTTGTTTGATCAACATATAATATATACAGAAATACAGAGTGCGTATGATGCTATACAGATCGAGAACAAATCTGAATAAATACGAAAATGACACTAAAATATATCAATAAATAATATTAGAAAATCCCTTAAAACAGCCCACAAGATCAGAAGAAACACAGCTTTTCTTTTGAAGATTTATTTCCAATAACCACCAAAAACACCCAGTAACTTCTTAGTTTTTCTATTTTTTTTCCAGTTTCCTTACTTTTCTTTTATGTTTTTTGCTTTTAGTTTTCTATGTTTACAATTTCTGCCACAACGCAAAGAGAGAATTCTTTGCCGGATTGTGTGTGGGTTTTAAAGTTTATTTATTTTTTTGTAACTGAAGCCTCTCTGCTCGCTTTCTCCAATAAACAAAATCAGACCGGAGGAAAAATCATGAAAATCGAGAGGGTGTCCAGTGTCTGTATTCATATCTAGATATACATATATATACATATACATATATATATATATATATATATATATATATATAATAATGCATAGTGCGGTAGGAGGAGTAGGTGGCTGCTCTATAACAATAATGTTTTTCTAGCCGGCTTTTTTACTGGTTTTTCGTTTTCTTCATTAAAGCTAAACTAATTTTTACAAGGTCCGAATTGTCGTCGTGCTTTGAGGGGGGACTTGTCCATTATTTTCTTTTTACTTTAATCATTAAGTATGCATAATTGCCCAAAACTTAATCTTAATTCATTACTTAATTGCCCTTTGAGGAGGGAGCTTTGTGAACAAAAGAAATATGTAAATATATTTTGTGGAAAGGGGAAAACAAGATTAGATGCGGAATAGAATTTATTGCAATTGAATTTATATACGCTCTGTGTGGCGCAATTATAATCATAATTTAAGGATACTCATAATAGTGTAATATATATAGTATAGTATATAATCATAAGTTCATACGCAGCATTATTTAATATAAGTTAATTTCTTCGCTCCGCTCCGACTGTTTAGTTTTGGTTCCTTCCATCCACCTGTCCATCCGTCCGTCCATCTGTCCGTCCATCCATCCATCGTGCGACCTCATTAAACTAAAACATTATGTGTTTCTCGTAATCATTACTTATACAGCAGGTGGTTGTTCTGCGTAATACGTAGCACGTAATACGTAATCAATAGATACGATACGTTAGAGAGTAGATACATTTAGATAACGCCTATATCTCATTATCCAGCGGGGTTTTTTTTACTTTTTTTTGTTAGCTCTCTCACAGAACTACAAACTAGATCAATGTGGCCCCTAGTGTGGGTTTTGCTTCATCGTCATGCATTTATCCTGTAACAGTTTCGCTCTAGCGCTTCATCTCCCTATAAAGACTACAACTTATTTAGATCCCAAGACAACAACAAAAATATTAAACAATTAAAAAAAAATTCAACACAATTGACACGTTTTCTACGTGAGGCTAGGCACAATACCTGACAATTAGGCAGCGAATCAAGGTTTCTAAAAGAATAATCATTCAACGATTTTTTATAGATTTAAGTGTCGGTCTCTGATGAGAGACATTTTAAAATTACACAAAATAAAGAAAATATTTAAAATTTAAATTCATGAAACAAATTTCATTAAGTTTATGATATTTATACTGGTCAAAAGTAGTATTTAAAAATTGTATTTAGTTGTACTGTCGCCATCTGTCGGAACTTCTGATTTATGTGGATCCTGTGTACAGGACATGCCTTGACATGACTGTGAATTCTTGTTCCTTTATTTTTTTTCTCTTTTACTTGCTCTTTTTTGAGCTTTTCCCCCGAGAAAGTTTTGCTGCTAATTGCCAGGATGTGCATGCCGAGTGTGTGCCAGAATTGAGGGCTTTTTGACTAAGAGGCTAGGCCTCTATCTAATGTATACATTATACATGCGAATAAATAAATTAGTTTCTCTTAGATTTCAGTTAGACGATTTTTCTTTTAGGTTTTCTTTTCTCTTCATTGTTTTTTTTGTTTTTGGTTAACATTGGGATTGGCACATTATATTACATATCATACAAAGCTTCGCATTCGTTCCTTTTCTCTTCCTAACCGCATCATCCTGTTATCCTTTTTTTCACTTCTAACGGAAAGAGCTAACCAAAGACCAGTGTTGGCTAAGGCGAAAGTATTGGGGGACACTGAACTAGAGCTAAAGCACGGCATCAAAAAAGAGGATTTCGTTTCGTTTCGTGTCGGTTTGGGTTGTTCGTTTAAAGTTCGTGTAATAAAATGTAACTGCTTATCACATTCATAGAACTTGATCAATTCTCTAAATACATCATATAGTCGTATGCATAGGTTAAATATAGTACATAATTTGGTACATTTACCTTGTAAGAGTTAACTAAATGTTTTCGTTTCCTTAATAGCACAGTGTAAACGCTTCGTCTTTGATTAATAGGGCACATTCTTTGAGTTTTAAAATTTAAATTCAATTTAAAAACGGAAGTTAAACAAAGGTTCTCAACATTTTCCGACCTTCTTTTTGCCTTTCCGCTCTTCTTTTGACCTCATTTTAGTTTGTATTTTATCGTTTTTGTTTTAAATTATACTTTTATTTTTGGATTTTAATTGGTATTTGGTTTTAAATTTTTCTTCATGTTTGTTCTTTGCAACAACTACAATACATTGAAACAGCAATTTTTGGAGTGCAACATAAACAGGTCTGACAATTCGAAACAGAATCTATCTTAAGTTCTTGCTTGTATCGCTTAATTGTCGGTATATATATATTCACTAGATCTATGTATGTATGTAAGTAGTAGGTTCTTACGGGTGTGTAGGTTCGTCTCCTCCGTGTGTTTGTATCTCATTTATTTGGCTACTTTATTCGGGGGTTTGTAAAAAATAGTTATCAGAAAAAGTGTAACATTTGTAATGTTAGGATAGTTCGTTCGATTCTCAAATACTTTTCACATAAATCATAAATCATATTCGTATCCGTATAGTGTCCGTTTTGTCCAAGTATGAGAGAGAGAGTGTGTGTGTGTGTTGCCGGTAGGGGTGTTTCATTGTTTTAATTACACATTTAATACTTGGGTTTTTTCAGTTTTATAACATTTACTTTATAAACTATTTTGCATCGTCTCAATGACCTGTGAATGCTGTGGGATTTCCTGAAGCTTTTCCAGCTTCCTCTCTAGGTTTTATTGAATTTATTTTTTGTTTTATCATTTCTTTTATTTATTATTATTTCTTTCTTTGCAAAATAAATGCTCTTGATTTTTGTATCTTTCTCTGAAGGAAAAAAAAACTAAACAAAACAACAACACTGCCTCTCAGGATATAGACTAGACTAGACTATATATATCCCGCTTATACATTTTTCGATCTTCTTTCTGTCTGAGAGTTTTGTGTGGTTACATTTTGTGGGTTCCTTCTGGGTTAGTTACTCGGAATTACTGGCATTACTTTGGTTAATGTTAGTTGTTTTTTTTTTAATTCGCTAAGCTATTAGGTGGAGAATCGGAAACTCATGTAAGTAGTTCACTTGAAACGTACAATTATATGTATTCTGGGACAGAATGAGTGAATAAGTGTGTACATGTTGATGGTGTGTTATGTTTGTGGGATGCAGGCAAGGGCTAGTTGTTGATTAAAACATTTCACTTTGAAAGCTAAATAAAATAAACAGAAAATACCTTAATGTATACGAAAAGAAACCTGTTGAAATTTTAGCATTAAAAAATTTTTTTTTTTTTTTTTGTCACAAAAGCCCCGGTTATTTACAAAGTTTTTGTAATAAAACAATAAATACTAATGACAAATATTTAATTTAAATTCGCTAAAGCTTTGTGTCAGGTTCCTTTTCGTTTATATATTAAGGTTTCAGAGTTCTATTTATTTATATTTGCAACTGTGAAACATTTTATTTCCAACTGGCCCTAGCCAGTTATACAGCTCTGAAACGCACTGTTTTTTTAGTTTACATTCTTTTTTGTGGTCTAAACTTATCGGTGTACCGTTATTGTGTTGTTAGCACAAAAATACCTATCAAGATTTTTGGTATTCTTCATTGCCTTTTAATATAATTAATTTTTTTTGTTTCTTTTTTCGTTTTTTGTTTTCCAAAATAAATTAAAAGGGGCGAGGGGGGGGGGGATTGATTCGAGAGGGATAAAATATACTCTTTACGAGCTTCGCCTTCGTCTGCATAAAATATATACCTTAACATCATTCAATCATCTTAACTCATCTTTAACGCGATCATCGCGCAGAATCTTAAATAAATATAAAGCACAAAGTGTTGACTTTCCAGTTGGTTTTTCGACTTCTAGTTGATAAGTTAGATACATATATGCCTTTGAGGGCATATATATACACATAAATATAATGTATATATATAAGTAAAGTTAATCCTTTTGAAGATGTGTGTAAGTGTGTGTCTGTGAGAAGTGTATGGGGTTTAGCATCTTCAATCTTAATTAAATTTCCCAAAACATCATTGCTGCGATGATGTTTCTTTTTCTTTTCATATATATATTTTTGGTATGTCGCGGTGCTCTCCTCATTTTGTAATGGTTTGTGGTTTGATTACTCGAACCTTTGATCGATTTAATGTCGATCTTAGGCATAAAACTCCGTTTTTCCTTGCGTCTTATAGGCCTCCTCCTCGATTTTGTACATGTCCATAAGCTATTTTTTTTTTTTTTTTTTTTTGAAGCGTTGATGGTGACAGCGGGCGGGCAGCGTGATAAACAAAATACAAAACATAGTTTTTTTGTTTTTGCAAAAGTAAACAAATTTGTTTCGTGTGTGAGAAATGGATGTGTGTGTGGGAAAGAGAGAAATAGAGAGAGAGAGAGAGAGAGAGAGAGAAAGAGCAAGAGAAAAGAGAATTTTCGTTAAGTTTTTCTTGGTTATTTTTTATGGAATTTAAAAAAAAAAATATTTTTTGTTTTAGGTTAGGGCGGGCGACACAGCAAACGATAAATGACAAGGCGTTATATTTGGGTGGGGGCGTGGCAAATCGAGGGTGAAAGAGATAAACAGATACAAAGAGACAGAGATACATAGAGACAGAGAGAAAGAGACACACAGAGAGAGATAGAGAGAGGGAGAGCTATGAAGTAGTTTTTCGATAGTTGAGCTGCGAGCTTGGATTCTCTAGGTTAAAACAGAAGTCGAGTCAAGATCTTAACTATATATATAAATATAGTAGAATATATATAACACCTAGGGCAGGAAAATGGGACACAAAGGATCAGGGTTCAATATCAAAGTGGAGTAGAGGCCAGAGACACAGTGCACACATAGAACTTAAGCACAGAAAAGCAAATTAAGTATAAACTATAAATTCTGATGAGGTTCAGTGTGGAAATACAAGAGTGAAAATACATAATTATTAATAAATATGAAGTATTTCACATAATGTAAGTAAATTCCACACTGAAAATGAAGGAAAATAAAAAAAATCGGGCTGGGAGAGAGCACACAAGTGAGTTGTGAATCAAAATGAACATGTACCAATAAATATATATATATATTAATATATAATACATATATAAGGAAGTAGTAGTAGATAATTACATCTTAGCAGTTAGTGTGAAAGATTAGCAGCTACTTGACTGATCGATTACTTTCAGGTTAGTACGGATGGGTTCGGTTAGGTTGGGTTTTTTTTCGTTTTGTGATTGGTTATGTGGTTATTGTTTTATCAGTTATTAGTTATCGAAAGATGCATTCCCAGTCGAAAGACCCTCTCTGTCGCTCTCGCTCTCGCTCTCACACTCTCTCTTACTCTTTCTCTCTGTCTGGCACTATATATATATAAATATCAATCGCTTGGGAGATGCATTTCTTCGCTTTGGTTTATATAGTTTCAATTTCAATTTCAGTTGTTGTTTGCTTTCATTTCTGGTTTCAGTTATTGGTTTTAAGTTATAAGTTATAGTTTATATCGGGGTTTTATCGTTTACGGTTTATCGCCCTCTAGCTCTCTATACAGGTGTGGCTGTTGTCTAAAGTACAGTCTCAATACTGGTTATAGTGTCGGTCTGCGGCCGAGTTTCGTTCAGTACCTTTTGCACATCGGTACTGAATTCCTCGATCTGCTTCGAATGCGCCAGCTTCAGTTTCTCCATGGCGCGTCCCTGCTTGACGCCGATTTGCTGTACATAAAAATGGGAGTATTTAATTAACTAATTATTTAATTGGGATTACTTGAACCCACCTTCTTTTCCTCCATGAAGCGTTTGACATTGTTCTGACGCTTCTCGCGCAGCCGCCGATCCTTTTCGTTCTTGGTCTTTAGCGTCTTGTCGTTCTGCACTTCCTTGGCGGTATCCGCCGAGGTCTTGGCCTGCTTGGCATTCAGATCCTTGACATCCCTGCAGTAGAAAAGAAATTATAAGATGAATTATCATAATTTTCCTAGAGTATCCCTGTGATATCTCTCACCTAGCATGACGATCCTCGAGCTGCTTTATCTGCGCCGCCTGCACTGTGAGCATGAGAGCCTTCATGGCATCCTGCGAGTCCTGGACATGCTGTCGGAGCATATCCCACTCCTCCTTGCGGTGGCGGGCAATCATATCGGTCCACTGTTTGGTCTGATCATTGATGGCATTCTTGATATTGGCATCATTCCGTATATCATCCTTGCTCTTGCCCTTGATCAGCTTATCGATGGCCGCATTCTGGGTCTTTTGCACCGAGGTACGCTCCTTGGCATGCTTCTTGCGTAGAGTATCCAGCTCCTTGATTTGCTTCTTCCCCACCTTCTGGAAGCCCTTCTCCTGGCGCAACGACTCCAAGGTGACCGGCTCAAAGACCAACGGTGGCTCCTTTTTCTCCTCCTCCTTGGCCTTGCCGGCATCTCGAGCGGCTCCACCGCTCTGCTCCTCAATGCCCAATGCCTTCATCTGTTCGTTTTGCTGCTTGGCAGCACCAGCAAATCCACGCGGATCCGACAGCATGGCCATAAAGTCCTCGAAGCCATCGGGCACATAGATCTTCAGTTCGATGTTCACGAACAGCATGGGCAATGACATGGGGAAATTGGCTTCGGTACGCAGTGACACATGCCGATAGCCCGCTTGCAGGCCATCCAGCGGCAGAATTCGCTGACCAATCATCTTGCCGCTTTCCTCATAAACGCCAAACCGCAGCACAGCCAAATCCGGCAGCACCACCTTACGGAACACGAAGGCATCCTCGTTGTACACCGGATTCAGTCCGTTATTGGGCACCAATCGTGTGCGGAATTCCTTTTTCACCGTGTCCGAGGGGAGACCGAACATGTCTACCTCAACGTAGGTGCCCACCTTCTTGTCCGACAAGAATTGGCCGGCTATCACCTTCACGGAGCACTGGGCAGCAATTACACCGTCTACGGGTGCATCGGCAAAAGGATCAAAGTCCTTGTCCGCTCGCCGCATAAAGTCCGGCTTCAGCAGGTAACCACAGCCGCCATTGTACTCGAATTTGCCCTGATTAAGTTGCATCGGTAGATCGGAGGATTGGAAGTTTAGAGAGACCATCTGGCAGCCGGCATTCCAGAACACTTGCGGCATATAGTTCGAGGAATCAGCACGCGTGCCCTTGGGATAAATGCGTGACATTTGACGCTTGTTGTAATTGACAAATTCGATGGAGCTCTGCTTTAAATAGTTCATGCCCGCCGATTCCGCGAATGAGGACATGTTGTGGGCAATGTTTTTCTCTGTAAAGGAAGTATAGGTTAATATTATTCATTGATCTATTCCTGAGATGTAGACCCCTTACCGATTGCCTTGTCAAAGCCCTGAAATTTAATGGGCTGCGCATAATTGACCATGGATGAAAGCCACGGATGGACATTGGTGGTGGAACCACTATAATTGGCAGCAGCGGCCTCTGCCTCGGCCCCACCACCGCCCTCGGCGGCACCTTCGGTGGCAGCTGCAGCCTCTGGTGCTGGTGCAGGAGCAGCTGCTGCCTCTGGCGGCTTGCCGGCACTTGCATCCTCCTCGGGATCATCGTCCGTCTTCAGTTCACCCTTAAGCCACAACTCCAGCTCGACTTTCTCCACCTCTGGCTTCATGCGTTTGTTCTTGATGAGAATTTTACGCTTAAGCTTACATGGTGGCGGCAAAGGTAGTCCCGGATCCAGCTAATAGGGTGTAATTGGAAAGAGTTAGTGGATTTATATATTTATATATATTTATAGGTGTCTTTACCGGATGATCCGAAAGCGGCTCCTTTAGCAGCAAATCGCCAAAGAAGTCATCACAGTATTTGGCCAGTTTGTATTGCTGGGCGCGATTGCAGTGATTCTCAAAGGACAGTATCACCGGATATTCCGAGGATACAAAGGCGCAGTCCGCTATCGCTTGGATGCAGTCCTGTAAGTTGTAAAATTATTAAATATTAATATGTAACAAAACTCTACGATTAGGTTAAATAAATAGATTTTAAATTAAAAGGTTTTAGCTTTAATAATTAATTTTCAACTGCATGACAAAGCCTGTTTCTATTCTGGTAATTAAAGTTTACGTGCTGGAAATTACTCCCTATAGCCACTAACTAAAGCTAATTTGTATCTAATTTGTTTAGGCACCATAAAAAAGTATTACCAAATGGCCATTAAACCTTAGATGCACACCACTGATTATTTCTGTATTCATTTGTCAATTAAGATTGTTAACTTTACATGTAATTAAATGTGAAATATCTATTTTAATTCAATTTCAAGTATTATTCGGGGTTATAGAAAGGTTTAACTGCATTTTGAATTGGAAAAAAATGATAAAAATCAAGGTTATTTAATATTAAATCATATTTTAGGCTTTGGAAATGAATTAGAAACATTTAAATGAAGATAAAATAGGTTTAGTTGGAGTTTATATTGGGAATTATTTATAGAAATGAAGGTTATTTAATATTAAATCATATTTCAAGCTTCCGAAATCAATTCAAAACAGTTGTTACAAATTCCTACACACTTTCTTTAATATTTTAAATCTTTACTCACCTTAAAGAGAATTTCCGTGCAGTAGGCATGACCGTGGGTAACAATGGGCTCCTCATCCTCACCCTTGCCATTCCAGCAATCCAGCTCCACACATCGACAGCCAGCGAGTAGAGTTTGACGGTACATTTCCACAGAGCTCTTGCCACCGATCTGACGACCGGACAAGTAGGTATTATGCGAACTATTAATGTAGTAATGGGCCAACGGCTGATCCATCTCCATGTAGAAATCCAGTCGATCCAAGAATACAGGGGCATTCTCATCGGACATTAAATAGCGCTTAAAACCATCCAGCGAAAGTTGCACTATAACAATAATATATAATTATAATCAATAATATAATATTTTAAGGATTTATTATATGTCAACCCACCGCTCTTTTTCTTCTCCTCATCCAGTTCATAGTCATTGATGATCTCCGTGCAGCGCTTCTCCTCATAAAGTGGATAAAGAATTTCATTCATTCGCGGATCACGTTGTTTGTCATTCATGAACTGAATGAATTGCTCCAGACTTATGAAATCCTGTTTGCCCTTGGTGCTGTAAGTTTATTTGTAATTTTAAATTTAGGAGAATATTTGATTATTACTAAATCAATTCAACTCACATGGATGTAAATAGCTCCTCGATGTCATTGCGGGGACACACCTTGTGGTATAGGGCATAGAACTTGTCAAAGGTAAACTGCTCTTTGGTCATTGTGGCATTCTTGTCATCCGGCAGGCCAGCATCCTTAATGCAAGTGTATACCAGCTTTTCCGTTTTGCCAGAGGCAAAGGTCTTGGCCAGCGTTTTAACTGGAATTTTGCCGCTTTTTTCAACGCAGTAACTCAATCGCATCCAACTAGGGTTTTTTATATATTTTTTTTACAAGAGAAGGAGGGTCAGGGTCAGTAATTACATTTCATTTGTTTATTTCTACGAAGTTCTGTGAAGGTTTTTCACTTGTACGAGTGGGAGTTTTGGGATGAAATGCAATTAAAATGGAAATGACAAGCAATAACAAGTGCAAGCATATAAACAAATATCTTGGAATTATTTAAAAAAAATAAAATAAACAAGTTAAGTCACATACCTGGTTGATGAGTTGATAGTTGTTAGTTACAAATACATTACAACTATATACTAAAATACATATAACAAATGCAATATAAGATGTGCAACGCTCAGGCTTTGAACAACAATTTTTTTCCTGATGCAATTAAAGCAAACAATTTAGTTACATATATATAGGCAACTTATTCTATACAAATTCTTAGATTTATATTATACAAAATATTACTACAAATTAATACATACTTAAATAATATTGTACATTAGTATAAATACATTTTAATACATTTTTTTTTCCGATTTTCCACCTTTCTAGCTTTTGGCTTGATTTAAATTGAAATAATAATTTGGTAGCCATGAAAATTGATTGAAAAATAAATACTATTTACTTGCAGTCTCCCCACCTCAAGTCACATCTTAATGTCCGTTTAGTGGACTAAGCTGAATGGTTGAGATTCGGTAATCGAATTCAATATTGATTAGCAATCAAGTTCAGGCTGATCCATTAGACAGATGATTAACGACCAGACCTCATAACTAATTGAATCAACAGAGAGAGAGAGAGGGTGAGAGAGATTTACATGGCCAACTGACCACTACACATAGAGGGGGAATCCCAAATCTATTTCCCAAGTCTATATCCTGACTGCTACAAATTGCACACTTTTTGGCCGCTCAAGTTCCGGGTCAAGTAATTGCGGCCGCTGCCGTTGAATGACGCATAAATAATGCAATCAGAAGCAAATTGCAAACTAGGACGACGACTAATTTACAATACAAACATGCAACATGCCCCACCTGTGTGCCACGCCTTTTAACACTAACTCCTACACTGCTCCTGCAACACTCTTGCTCCTGCTACTGCTACTCCTCCCTTATTTGGCCAAGGTGTTGCCACCAATGGTGGTTAACACGGTGGTTCGTTGAATGCACTTTGCTACTTTTCATCATCGAACCCCCTAGAGGACCACCAAATGTTAGGACACTGAGAGAAAGAGTTTTATAATAAGATTGAATAAAAAAAAGGAATTAAGAAACTTAACCAATACTCTAAGAAACTTGTAGGATAATAATCAATTACTATAAAAAACTATTAAGAATATCAACTACTCCAATAAACTATAACTTAACAAAAACTCTTAGATGACCATTAGTTTTTCAGAGAAATTAACTAAAATCCTTGTTAATTTCAATTTCCCTTATTTTCGTACACTTTCTTTGGTTCAGTGTAGATGTGCAGGGTTGTGTGATCTCCACCCAGGACATGGATTGGAGAGTGTTCACCGCAGGCAAACGCATATCCAATGAACCACAGTTCAGTTACCGCCTTTCATCATTGTCCTTCCAATCCCCCCAGGACACCGAGAGGCACCTTTAGGAATCGTGGTCATCATCAGACATTTAACCCATTGAATGCATTCGTTTCGAGGCAAACTTTTTGGACGGTTTAACCCAGTTCTCAATGACCAATTTATACCCATTCCGTGGCAACGCCCGACGATGGTTCAAAAGCGGAAGCCCAAAACAAAATTAAGTTAAATGTAGGCCAAAGAAAAAAAGGGTTGGGTTTGGTGTGTGGAAAAAATATATACATAAATGTATAAACATTTAAAGAAGTATCAATTGCAATTGGACATTTGATAAATATTAGTAGAAAATAATAAATAATAATAATTATAATGGATATACAAATAATGATATTTGTGCTGTTTATGTTAATAACATATTAATTTTGCAGAAATTTCTGAACCCATTTACTTAATGTCAGCTTAAATTCCTTGTTTAAGTTATGACATCCTTCCTCGGACCCCTTTTGCTATTGATATTTTCCCCCATTTCACGGTGGGAAAAAGAACAGCAGCCCAACCCAGAACACTTTCCCGGAAAATGCAAATAATATGAATTTATTTTAAGCTAAAAGTGGACCATGGAGAAGGAATAGGAGGACTAGAGAGTCGAGTATTTGGCTAAGGATCGAATTGCGGACTTTGGAGTTCCCGGAATTGCGTAATCGCCAATCAGGAAATTAATAAACAAGTCAGAATGCGAATAATTGACCCGAAAGTCCAAACAGACAATGTGGCTTAAATGTAAACGGATGGAATTTCAGGGGAAAGGAAGTGCAGTGGTAACAATGGTTTCCTAGTAATCACAAAACTTGCATTTCCCCGAACAGAAATTCAATATAGTTAAGACTTTTAATTAAAAGCAAACTTGGCAGGAATTTCATTATGTAATTAATTTGAAGAAGTATGGACTTACTTTAAAATAAGTACGGAACTTGGTCTACTTAGAACTAAGCCCTTTAAGCAAGGTGTTCTACTTAAAGACACTCTTGTGTTTTAGGTAGAATGGTTTCTAGAATGATTTACTATGGAAATGGAATTTTTTAAGACAATATTTCTTGCCCCTTGGTAATACTTCAATTATCCCTTAGTGCCATAGCTGCATAGCATTACCAATTTACATGTTAATTTAGCTTTTGAAGCTTAACATTTAATAACACGTTTACGTAATATATATTATTTATCTAGCATAACCAAGTATGTCCTCAGCTAATTCCAAAATCTATACCTCGAGTGTCATAGCGGCATAATGAGTATATTTAACTACACAAACTACACTTCCTGTTTCCTGTATCTTAAGCCCAATTAAAGGTGTCTGATGCTTCCTTTATATGTGTCATGAAATGGACTAATTTACAGTGGGGTCCTTTTCGGCAAGGACTCCTACTTACTGCTTCATCAGATTGGTGCGAGGACACACATTCGTGGCTCGATTGTTATGCGTGATTTGACGCAACATCTTTTGCCAGCTCTGTGCGAGCGAGATGGTTATGTACAGTTAGATAAAGACAGAGATTTATATATATATAGAGAGAAAGAGAAATGGCAACAATAATAACAAGAACAAAGAGAAAGAAGAACGTGTTGAAGAAGAAACAGCATGCAGAATACAGAGAGAAAGAAGAGAGAACGGAACGGAACAATCGATGCAATTATGTACACACAGTGTAATCGAGTGAGGTGCAGCAAGTGGAATTAATGCGGCGAAGGCGAAGGCGAAGGGATGAAGGGGAACAGGGGACAGGGGACACTGGTTACAGGACCCTGACAAATGTATGAAGGATGTGAAGAGGACAAGTTGTGACATGAATGTACGGGGTGGAAACACGCCCACTTACTGTTTCCGTAGACACATCATGGGGCAGATATTGTTCGCTTTGACATTATGCGTTATTTTTCGTATGCCATCTAGCCAGATCTAAAAGTAGAGGGATATTTACGATAGGAGAAACGATACGTGTGTGAGTGTGTGTCTTTGCACAAGCCATTTCTATTTGTTTCAGTGTATTACGAACTTGGAGTGGACCTTGCTTATGTTGATAATTGCAAACTAAGAGTTATAAATTAGGGAAATATAACACCCTAAAGAACAGATTCAAATTCTGAAGTTTCTAAAGATTCTTAAAAAAGAAAATTGTATATTATCTTATCTTTTTGGTAAAAAAAACTTTGTCGAACAATATAATATTCTTAAAAAATATTGATATATTGCTATAATAATTTTAGTTAGAAGCTCTAAACCCTGTGAAGGAGTCCTATCCGACCCTATAAATCATATATATTCTTGATCAGCATCAACATGCAAATCTTTCTAGCTACTTTGAGCAAAAAAAAAAAAAAATTTCCAAAAATGTTCAATTTAAAAAAAAGGGAAGGGGTTAAAATCGTTAAAATTTTCAAAAATTTGAATTTAATAAAATTTTAACCCGAGTATGCAGATTTATTAACCTATCAAAAACTAATAAATTTCCGAATTAAAATTATAGCAGTTTTGGCTGATTTCGAGATTTTTAATCTTTGATTAGTCGAATAAAATTGTCATATAAAATATTATAAATATATTAAGCTTATAATCAATTTCCGATTTGAACCTATAATGCAAATGCAAACTGCAAGCGCATATTAATTTGGGCTTGCCTAAGTTAGTTTCCTTGTTTTTCCTTTTGTTTGTAACCTTATGACCCCATGGCGTATGAGTGATATTTACATTACTCATACGCAGTGTTGACAATATGCAACTATTTTTCATAGATTTCCCTAGGTATAAAAGGTCCACCCGACTGTTTTTAAGGTAAGTTAGAGATCAGCTTTGGGAGCAATTGTATGTATTACGTATGTGAGGAAATGTATAGACTAAGGATAATGAGGCATATTACTCCTTTGATCAGTGCTTTCCAATCACTTTAAATTATAGTAAAGAAAAAGCTTTAACTTGGACTTACCTTAGCTGTTGCCGCATCTGGACAAATAACATGATGATATGTTATATTGATATAGTCCGTGTTCGAACAGATCGTTAGGGATCGTTTATCCAGTTCAGGGATGTTGGTTCCATTCTTTTGGTCACCTTATCGAGTATCTTTGGATCCTGTAATTAAATATATATAAAAAGGTAATTACTCTGACTGCATTTTGCAACGGCATACGGGGTGCCTATCTCAATCACAATCCCCCTGAATCAGTATCTGTATCAGCTTTAGGGGCAACATTAATCTCCAGTCGCATCATTAATCAAGGCTGGGGAGCAGCCCGAAAAATACATTGCACAAGGAACATTTATCAACATTTGTGCAGCATTCGCGAAGCCAAGTATATATATATATTACAGATATATCTATATTTTCATTCTATTTTTGTTGTTTGGGTTCAGCAGTAATTTAATGTTGTACATTTTTGGAGAAAAGTAAATATGTACAACTATTAACTAAAGGATATGAATTTATTTATTTAAGATAAAGGGAGTAAGTACGTTTTAAAATATAAAATAAAGATTACATATCTTTTTAAAATGCAAGGCAGTGAAGGAGTCATCTCCGACCATATATAGTTTATATATTCTTGATCAGCATCAACAGTTTCTACGCAAACAAGTAACTAAGGTCAATAAGTGACTATGACCAGCAAATAACTCTGATCAGTAATTAACTATAAGCAGTATATGCAGTCAGAACAGAAAGTAACTAAGAGAGGAAACTAACTCGGCACAGTACATATCTACGACCACTAAGTAACTATGATCAGTAAGTATCTATGCCCAGTAAGTATGTATGATCAGTAATTAACTATGAATACTAGTAAACAATGACTTGCAACTTTTGTAACACAACACATTTCTGAGACCTGGCCGGCAGCAATCACTTCGTTCCGGGGATGTTAGAAACAGTTGGGAATCATATGATCATGAGATTTGTTTTGGAACAAATTAAAGAGCAAGCTATTTGAATGAAACTATGTAGTTATTCGACAATATCATTTTACTAGTGTATAAGTCTGAGCATGGCGAATCGGTGGAATATATATATCTATATATACATCTGATATAGGAAATATCGGACGGTTTATAGAACTATGATCATTAAGTTACTCTGAACACCAAGTTTCTATGACAAGTAAGTCTCTATGACCAGTAAGTAACTCTGAACAGCAAGCATCTATGACTAGTAAGTATGTTTGACCAGTAATTAACTTTGAACACTAATAAACAATGACTTGCAACTTTTGTAACACAACACATTTCTGAGACTTGCCCGGCAGCAGCCACTTCGTTCCGGGGATGTTAAAACTAGTTGGGAATCATATGATCATGAGATTTGTTTTGGAACAAATTAAAGAGCAAGCTATTTGAATGAAATTACGGAGTTATTCGACAATATCATTTTACTAGTGTATAGGTCTGAGCATGGCGAATCGGTGGAATATATATATCTATATATACATCTGATATAGGAAATATCGGACGGTTTATAGAACTATGATCATTAAGTTACTCTGAACACCAAGTTTCTATGACAAGTAAGTCTCTATGACCAGTAAGTAACTCTGAACAGCAAGTACCTATGAGCAGTAAGTAACTATGATCAGAAAGTATCTATTACCAGTAAGTATGTTTGATAAGTAATTAACTTTGAACACTAATAAACAATGACTTGCAACTTTTGTAACACAACACATTTCTGAGACTTGCCCGGCAGCAGCCACTTCGTTCCGGGGATGTTAAAACTAGTTGGGAATCATATGATCATGAGATTTGTTTTGGAACAAATTAAAGAGCAAGCTATTTGAATGAAATTACAGAGTTATTCGACAATATCATTTTACTAGTGTATAGGTCTGAGCATGGCGAATCGGTGGAATATATGTATATATCTATATATACATCTGATATAGGAACAATCGGACGATTTATAGAACTATGATCAGTAATTAACTCTGAACAGCAAGTACATATCTATGACAAGTAAGTAACTATGACTAGTAACTCTGAACAGCAAGTATCTATGACTAGTAAGTATCAATGACCAGTAAGTAACTCTGAACAGCAAGTATCTATGACTAGTAAGTATGTTTGACCAGTAATTAACTTTGAACAGTAATAAACAATGACTTGCAACTTTTGTAACACAACACATTTCTGAGACCTGGCCGGCAGCAATCACTTCGTTCCGGGGATGTTAGAACCAGTTGGGAATCATATGATCATGTGTTTTGTTTTGAAACAAACTTAATAGGAAGCAATTTGAATGAAACTATGGAGTTATTTTTCTATATAATTTTACAAGTATATAAGTCGGAGCATGGCGAATCGGTGGACTATAATATACATATATATACATATCTGACAAAGGAACAATCGAACGATTTATAGAACTATGATCAGTATGTAACTATGATCAGTAAGTAACTCTGAACAGCAAGTATCTATGACCAGTATGTAACTATGATCAGTAAGTATCAATGAACATTAAGTAACTAAAATCAGTAAGTACCTATGACCAGTAAGAAGATATGACCAGTAAGTATCTCTGAACAGCAAGAATCTATGACCAGTAAGTAGCTATGACCAGCAATTATATACGATCAGTAATAAACTTTGAATACCAGTAAACAATGACTTGCAACTTTTGTAACACAACACATTTCTGAGACCTGGCCGGCAGGTCAGTTCGTTCCGGGGATGTAAGAACCAGTTAGGAATCATATGATAATGAGATTTGTTTTGGAACAAATTCAAAAGCAGCAATTGAATATTTGAATGAGGAGTGGAGTAATTCATCTATATAATTTTTCTAATATATAAGTCGGACATGGTGAAGCGGTGGATTATACAGATATATATATATAGCTGCCATGGGAACGATCGGAAAATTTTAAGAAAAATTATAATTTTTCTAGACAACAGATTAACTTTGATATATAGTTATTATATATTAATCTAGAATTTTGTGTAAAGTTTTATCAAAATCTGATTACTATATCATATAAGTAGCTGCCATACAAACGATCGTAAAAAATAGAGTAAAAATTTAAAATGGTGTATGTAAAACTATAAATGTAAAATGTATAGGTGAATGAAATGAAAGCAGGCATTACATTGTTTTTTAACATAAATATATAAATTTTACATTTTATTATTTCCTAGTGATCGAATTCCAATCTGCACTGTATAAAAACTTTGGCGTGCCAAGTTAGCTTCCTTTGTTGTTTTATTTGAAAGAAAATGGTAACTAAATATATTATTTAAATATTAAATTCTTTTACTGATTTTTAAGGCTTTCAAAATCACATTATTTATATATCATATTTCTATTTCCATTTTATTGCTGCAAAGGTTTAAGCACAATTTTCAAAGAATCAAAGAGTGCTCACAGCAGGGACTCTTTCAAAAGTCCTTCCACTTAAACGGTGAATTTCTTAAAGGAAATTGAATTATGCAGAGACCCCGCCAAGGAAATTTCCTCACCTCACCAGGATACAATCAAACACACACACACACACACACCAACAGAAACGTCAATAGCTCAATCAGTTCGAGTGCAATTTGCCAGGACTCGGTGAGCAGGAACAGGAGCAGGAGCAGCAAGAACTGTAGCATACTTTCGAGTGCTAAATAAGTCAGCCTCCCCTCGCTTTGAAGCAGCAAAATAAAGTGAAAGCAAATGTTATAAAAGTTTTTTCGCCTTTTTTCTCTTCCTCATTTTATTTTATTTCGTTTCATTTCATGTTCTGTGTTTGCCTTCTTCTGGCATTTCTTTTTTTCCTGCATTATTGAAAAGCTTTAACAAAAAAAATGAAAATAAAAGAGAGAAACTAAAAGCCAGGAAAAGTCGTTGGGGGAAAAAATGCTGAAAAAAAACTGCAACCAAGCTCAAATTTTTTCGTTTTCAATATTTCTTTTCGGGTTTTTATTTATTTTCTGCCAGCCGCCACTTTTCTTTTTCTGTGGTTTTCCCCTCCCATCTGCCAAACGAAGCAACTTTTAATGGTTCATTGTGCAAGGCTTTTGGGGCATGCGTCCTGCCTGCTCCGCTTTTCCTTTGGCTTTATATACATATATATATATGTATATATATATATATATATATATATATATATATATATATATATATATATATATATATATATATATATATATATATATATATATATATATATAGTGTGTGTGTGTGTCGCTCACTGATTTAATATTGATGACCAAACATTTCAAGTGATGGCAGAGCACTAAACACACACAACACACACTGAGGTAATGCGTACCAAAGTCCTAGTTTTTTCAGTAAAATTAACAAAAAATTTCGAAAATTGCTTACAAATTATAGATTATTTATAATATGTGTTAATAATTATTATTATTTAATTTTTAGTTGAGAAACAAATTATATTAGTTTAAATATTTATACCTTTTTTAATGGTATTGTAATTTAAGTCTGAAGTAAAGAAATAGTCATTAACTAATATATACTCTTGATCAGCATCAACAGCCGAATTTTTCTAGCTATGTCAAGCAGAAAAAATTTTTAATTAAAAAAAGTAAAGTACAAAAATTGACAATAATTTTAATTTTGCAGATTTATTAACTTAACAGAAACTGACAGGGGTAAGCTTTCAAAATTTAAATTTATAATTTTTTGATCGAGTTACGAGTTTTTTTTTTTTTTAAACACGATTTTCCATCAAATCCCATATCAATAGCAAACTATAAGGGTCATAAACTGGCATTATGATTTTTATAGAATATAAAACGAAATTTTCAAATAATGCAAAATTAATATGTCGGACGAACCGGTAGAAATCTGTGTGCTCGCCAAAATGATATATGTCAAACGATCATATTTATATTATTGAAATTAAGTAAAATTATGGAAAAGTAGGTATTTTGCCTTTGCCTTTTAAAATAAACAATACTCTCCTTTAAAAAAACCCAGCAATAAAGACAATATAATTGGCCTAATAAGAAATAAAATGAAAATATGTATTTAGAGGAGCAAACATAAGAAAAATAAGGGAAACAAATTTTAAATCACGAGTGACTAATGTTGAAGTAGCCACCGGACCATCTGAGTTGAGGGCCCACAAACGAATGATGATGAGCAGTAGCTATAGGAGTAAACTAAAGTGACCGGGGTTTGATGAATTGCAAAATGTAGGAAAATAGTGTAACCTAATGTCATATACACGATAAGAGATTTTCTTTTTGCACTATCGATATCGATAAAATATCAGCTTCATGACTGAAATGTTTGCAAGACCAAAGGTTTGGATAGCTTAAAAAGAACTCAAGGACCTAGTTATTAATTATATCGAATTATTATTTTTTAGTTTTTTTTATATATTCTTAGCCTTTTGCATAAAGTCTTTGGACATTACTCCTTTGGCCATCGTATTTGTGGTCAAACAATTTTCAGAACCTACACCACTTACTCACACAAAGACACACACTATAGCGTCCACTCACCCTATGCGTGTGATCATTATATGAATTTCTTGCAGCTTTTGCTCTTGGCCGTTTTTTTTTTTTGCATTTTAATTGAATTTGCCAAAGGACAAGTGGAATCACTTGGTGAGCACAAAAGATGTTAAGGGTTGAACCAGTTTTTCTGGGGGGAGTGTGAAAGGGTTTTGGCTAAAAGTGACAGAAACTGGCCAAGACAGACTCAACGGGTTTCCCCGTTTCTCAAGTTGCCAACAAATAAAGGCGCAGCATTGCCAAAAATCATGATTTTCCAACAATAGAACTTCTCGAGTTCTACTGAAAGTTATACAAATCGTAAATAAAGTTGACATTTCTGTTCCCCATTCAAGTTGAGTTTTACGAACCAGATAAATAAACAACAACTTTGTTGACTAAATAACAATAATGCTATGAAGATCTTGTAAAGGTGATTTGGAAAATAATTTCCCATAAAAAAGAAACAACTTATTAATCAACTTTAAATATATATACTTTTAAAGGTCTTAAATTGTTGAGCATATTACTGCGTAACATTAATGCAATTTACTGCCATATTTTCCAGACTATGAAAGGACTTATTTTCTTTTCCTTCTTTCTCTATTTTCAGTTTCAATTTGTACAAATATTTTTCTGCTGCATTTGCTTTAAGCCTTTGCCTGGCTTGGACTTAAGCCGCTTCCACGGAAAGCCTGTTCACGATTGAATGGAGGAGAATCGAGGATGAGGATGAGGATGAGAAGAAGGAGCATTACCAGCAGCGACCACACCTGGCTGCCACTTAGTAGTCTTTTCTCCCCATGCTCTCCATCTCCTTTTTCAATTTCTAGCATCCTTTTTCCTTTGGCATTTTCCCTTAGATGCACCTGTAACCCACATGCAAGCGAGTCAAAGGATTCGCCTGCAGCTAAAAATGCAAAATGATGAAAGAGAGAGAGAGAGAGGGGAAATCAGGACTTTAACTTCAGTACTAAGGAGGAGAAGATAGAGTGTTACCACCAAAAGATCACATAATAAAGCTGAATTAGGTATGGAAAAAGTTATACATTTCTTAAAATAATTATAATAATAGATACATATTTCTTCAACAAATGGTTATGAGAAATGAGAATGTATTTACTAATACTTTGTACTTTGAGATTACAAAATCTAAAAATCAACTAATTTTGATTAAATATAGAAGTAAATACAAGTTGTTTATATAAAAACAAATAAGTTTTGTAGAATGTTAGATGACTATTAGATGAGTATAAACTTATCATTTGCATCTTTTTAAGATTAAAATAATTCTGTAAAGAAGTTTGCATACTTAAATATATATTTAATGATAGATATCAAATTATCAAATCTAATGAATTATTTTGTTGTCTGAAAAAACCGACATATGGCCGGATCTGGCTGTGCTCCAATGGATAAATTTCTCTCTCTCTTTCTGGCAGTTGCCAGTTGGATGCACTCAACCAAGCCTTCGGTTTCAGCAACAGCATTGGCATCAGTTTCACTTTCAGTTTCACTTTCAGGTCCCTTGTACCTTTTGGAAAAGTGTGTCAAAGTGAGGTAAAGCCTGGGAAAATGGGGGAAATACTAAGAGAGTGAGAGAGAGAAGGGAGTGAGACTGGACGGCAAATCTAAATTAGTTCAAGTCTTGGGGCAGCAGCACCTGCATCGGCCATAAATACATATATCTATATACACATATATGTTATATATATAAAGCATATATAGAAGGTATGTGGTATGGATGGATTGGTACAAATGGGGCTTCATTTCGGTCTGTTGCTGTTGCTGTCTTTGGTCATAAATTTCATTTAGGCGATGTCCTCGACAGACAAACACAAATACATCACTCTATCAGTTCAAGACCCACCAGATATATATATATATATAAATATATATATATGGGTCCCCTCTGATGCCATATGTTGAGAGCAAAAGGAATAAATAAAGGGGACGCAAGGACCCAGGACACAGGACTTGGTGACAATAAATCTAGCGCATGGAACAAATGCGTTCCAAAGTCGAAGACGGCGACTTTGATCCACAAAATGGTGCTGGCTGCAAAACAATTGAGAGCAAAAGTGACATATTGACACATTAACCGACACACACACATCCACCCCCTCTCTCTCTCCTGAACGACAGTTTTATGGCTTTGTGATAGTTCATCCTGCCAGGATGTGGGAAAAAAAGAGAACTGCACTCAGTCAAAACTTGCCATGGAAAAGGAAAAGCGGAAAAGGCAAGGAAGGTGTCAACTAAAAATGCAGACAAATGGAATCAGAAAAGATATGTATTTCATTTAAATTGATAAATATTATCATTCCTTTCAGTTAGGTTGGGTTATCTATCTAGCTGTGATGCTTAATAAATGGTAAATTGTATAAAATACACAATATCATTTAAAAAGCATATATAAATATAAGAATAGTATTTAAATTTTCAACTTAGTTCTATTTAAATTCATTAACTTGTTTCATACTTTAAGCTTTTGCCATTGCACTATGGTCCAGAAGTTGATTTTTTTGGCATAAATTCGAAATTTTCATGTTTATATTTTGTATTTTTGATTTAAAATTATTAAAGTTAAAATATCAAACATAAACAAAACTAAGAAAATATGCTTTACAAGCTTCTCTGAAGTTTTTAATGAGCTTTCGAAACCACACAATCGAATAGCTGTTTGGTAATAAGAAATTGGCGGCCAATTGCTGTGTTTAGTTTTTTACGTGAAAATAAAACTTCTTTGTCCGAACAAACTATTGATAGTAATGGAAACTGTAAATCAAGGTATGTATTTTTTACTGAATATAGTCTGTTAATGTGTAGTCTTAGTGTTTGTGTTTTGTTTAATGTTCAATTTATGTGTATTTTCTATAGAAAATTAACATGCGTCCCTTGTTTTTCGTGGAAAAAATCTAACGACCTGACGGCTGCTGACAAAAACTAATTACTTCAGTTTGTACTAAAATATGTCGTTCTTTATCGGTAATTAACAACTTTTCCCCGTTCGTCCCCCTTTTCACACAATTCCGCAATATTTAGCGACGTTCGAATTTCGCCATAGCGATCTCTTCGATATTTGGCTCAGCAATAATCGCAAAATATCATCTGTGTTAGATTGCATTTATGAGAAAATGAGCCATTACCACGTCGAAGATGATAAAAAATTAGAAATCAATAAAAAAAACAAGTAATTTTGAATCAATTATTAAAAAAATGACTACCAAAATGGAATACCAGGAAAAAAATGTTGAATGATATGATATGGGCCTACGAGTAAGCGTGCCAAAGCAAAATGGTAGCGGGAACAGCAATGACGGTAATACAGCAAGAAGAGCTTTTGCAAATATTGAACAAATATCACCCATAACCGGCTTTGACAAAACCCTTTTAAATAATTTTCACGTTATATTAATAGCAGTTTCATGTAACTTTTATATAAACTCTGACAAATTTCAAACTTTTTGTAAGAAAACGTTTTGCCTATATATGCATAAATACCCGTGGTACCCCATGTCACCAATGATTCACAAAATATTAGTCCACGGTTTTCAAATAAATAATTCAACGTTAGTTCCACTAGGATGCTTAGGCGAAAATGCTTCAGAAGCCCGCAATAAAATCTATAAAAAAGACCGACTCTCACACGCAAGGAAAAATAGCCGAATCAATACTATGACTGACATTTTCCACAGGGCGATCGATTCCTCGGATCCGTTACTACCTAGTGTCTGTTTAAGGGAAAGAGAACTAAAAAACACAAAAAAAAGCTATTCCCAAAGAAGTATTAAGCCTTCTGGAGCTGCCGTCAACCGAGAACAACATCCCATTTGAAAAGGAATTGCAATCTGATTGTGATTCGGATGACGACTTGAACGAAGGCAGCTCAATAATACTAGAAGAAGAAGAAGAAGAATATAATGTTTAAGACAAAACCCATACATAACATATAAATATGTACAGATATACATATATAAATGTAAGTATATTGTCTGAATTCAGCTTCATACTCAATTTCTAATTATAATACTACGAATCGGTTCGTATGGGAGGCAATAGAGGGCGTGGTCTCACAGACTCAAAAGTTTTTTTTACATTATTGTCTTTCTGAAAAATCATAATGTGCAAAGTTTTAGGTCTGTAACTCTATTTTTTGAATTTATGCCAAAAAAATTGACTTCTGGACCATAGTGCATTGTTAAAGAGTATTAAAAATATATTTAAATGGTAGAAAAGTACGAAATAATCAGAGAATCTTAAAGAAACATAAAAAAATGCATTATATTTGCAGATCTACTATATTTTGTAAGAAACAGTATAGATTTTTCGAAGAATTTTTGGACATACCTAAAGGTAACAATCTTCCCCAAGTTATATATATATGTATATATTTAAATAAATACACTTACCCTTGGTGTTCCTCCCGCACGAATGTCGCTCACTTGACACAATTCGATGACATCGCCATCCTGGAAGCAGATATAGAGTATATTTGTAATATATACATTTAATAAGAGAATATATTATAGAACTATATAACTTACCCGACCCTCACTCTTCCAATAGAGAAAGAAGCCATACTCATCGACCTTAAAGAGGGCATCGCGCTCAAAGTCATTCTCCTTCGTCTCCTTCTCGTTCTCGAACCAGCGATCGAAGACGGCGCCCGTGGTTAGTTCCGGCGGAACCGGAATTATCCAATCGAATTCGTACTTCTTGGTCATTATTGCTCACGCCGTACGCTGAATGGTGTCTGTGGATTTTAAATCAAATAAATAAAATGAAGTAAGTATAATTTTAATAGAATTACAATGAAAAGAAATAGAAATTATAAATATTATAGTTAAGTAGAACATGTACATTACTTTGGGTTTTTTAAATAAATAATATGTTTATACCCCTGCAGGGTATTATAATTTCGGTCAGAAATTTGCAACGCAGTGAAGGAGTCATCTCCGCACCATATAAAGTAGATATTCTTGGTCAGTAGCAACAGCAAACTAGTATTTATGACTCTGAACAGTAAGTATCTATGATCAGTAAATATCTATGACTAGTAAGTCATTTGACCATTGAGTATGTATGATCAGTAATTAACTTTGAATACAAGTAAACAATGACTTGCAACTTTTGTAACACAACACATTTCTGAGACATGGCCGGCAGCAGCCACTTCGTTCCGGGGATGTTAAAACCAGTTGGGAATCATATGATCATGAGTTTTGTTTTGGAACAAACTTAATAGCAAGCTATTTGAATGAAACTATGGAGTTATTATTTATATATAATTTTATTAGTAAGTCGGAGCTTGGCGAATCGGTGAGCTATATATACATCTATATAGCTGCCATAGGAATGATAGGAAAATTTAAAGAAAAAATATAACTTTTTCAGATTTCAACAGATATTACTTAAACTTGATATGTAGCTAATTTATGTTAATTTAGAATTTTGTGTTAAATTTTATGAAAATCGGACTACTATATCATATAGCTGCCATACAAACGATTGTTAAAAATAGAGAAATATGCGAAACCGTGAATGTAAAACAGTAAATATAAAATGTATAGGTATATAATATATATTCGGCGTGCCGAAGTTAGCTTCCTTTCCTGATGTTTAGGTGATACTAATATTACTATTGCAGGGTCTTATAATATAAGTCGAAGTCTAAAACAAAGTGAAGGAGTAATTTCCGACCCTGTAAATAGTATATATTCTTTATCAGTATCAACAGGCAAATCGATCTAGCTATGCCCAACAAAAATTAAAATTTTTCAAATTTTCAAAATTTTATAAAAAAAATAAAAAAAATTTCGTTAAAATTTTCAAAAATCGATAGAAAAATATTTTTTTTTTACATTTTAAACTGAGTATGCAGATTTATCAACCTATCAAAAACTATCAACGGAAAGCTTTCCGAGTTGAAATTAATGCTTTTTTGGCTGAGTTATGGGATTTTTAAACTTTGATCTACCGAAAAAATGTATATACAAACATGTGTAAAAATTGATTTAAAAATACGCATATTTATGAACTTCATGAAGTCATAAGATATCAGAATAGCGAATAATAGTCAAAAGTCATACACATTTCGATTCGTAAATTATATCTTTACAAATTAATAATGGGATGTTGATCAACAGTTTATATGTAATTAATTTTTTAATATTGGGTGTCAGTTTGTAAATAGTTAAAAATTGACTTGTTTTGGTTTCGGGTTTCTTGTTGCTAATGGCGTTTTAATAATCTTCCGTTTGACAAAAGGAATAAATAAATATATAAAATAAATAAGAATATAAAAGCTCTGTTAATAATAACACAAAATAAGTATCAATGTTTAACAAATGACTAAAGTTGAACTTACCTTTGCCGCTTCCGTTTCCGGTGCTGTTTCCGTTTCCGTTGCCGCTGCCGTTGCCGCTTCCGTTTCCGTTGTCGTGCACATGCGATATATATCTAGGCCAGATCGTTTTTCTCTGTGTCTCTTTTTGCCTCTATCTCTCTCTCGTCTCTCGCTTACACGCTTCAACTAGTCTTTAGTTTTGGGACATGATCAGAATACTGGGTATTATGAGGCTTTTATCAATTTTTACAATCGATTTTGAAACAGTATGTGAACTATATTTCCTATGTACAATTGCATTTATTGTAGATCACATGGTCCAGTCCGAAGGCTCGACAGAATTTGGCTAATTGAACTTGATTCGGTTGCACTTGCCGCACTGTCAGGCGATTCAAGCCTTGGATTCCTTTTTAGCCAAAAAACAAAGTTCTCTCTGTCTCGGCACGGCTGTAATGGGAAATGGAAAATATAAATAGAGATAGGACCATTAGACATGACAGCCGCAACGGGCTTGCTTTTGCAATAATAATTAAGTGGCAAGCCGCAAAACGAAATAAAGACATGAACAAGGCTGCACTCAGAGACAAAGTGTTCAAAAAGTAGGTAAACATAGAAATTGCTAGGATATTTACTGCATAATATAATGTATAAACTAATTTTTTACTTTAATTATTGTTTGGTTTCTTGCTTAAATTGTTGATTTGTTTATTGCTGTCCAAAAGGTAATCAAGCTTCTTGTTCTTGAGAGTTGGTTTGGCTTATTACTATTTATTTATATTTATTCTAAATTTAGAGTCTTTATTTAATATATTTTCGTAACGTTTTCTTCGAAATACTTTAGCTTTTGCTTACTATTCTTAACTTTACAGAAATTAATGCCTACTTTTCTCCCTGTTTATGTTTTCAAAGGAACAACCATTAAAATTCAAGGAAATGCATTTATCCTGTTCACTTTCCTTTCTAGATTTCAATGTCCATCAAGTCTTTGATTTTATTTTATTATTGGAATCAAGTTGTATACTATAATTTCCAATTTCATTTTGTGGCTAAATGCCTTAAGGGGGTAGACCACCCTGAACGCATGAAATTTGGAGGGTTTTTCAAAAATTCATTTTGACTAAGTTATTGGGAATACAACTTTTTATTTATTAGTACATCAAAGAACATATGTTAAACTAAAAAATACTTATTGAAAGAAAAAAAAATATTTACGAACCTCGGAGATATAGCCAGTCAAAAAACGAATTTTTTTTAGGGAATGGTCGGATGGTGTACATGCTGCACACCACATTTGTTATCCGAAATTCAAAAACAAAAATTTTTTATAAGCTATATAAGTATGGCTATAGCATGACGTAGCCGTTTTTGGAAATAATTTTTTTTGAGCAAATGGGAGCACTTTGAAAAAAAAAATTTTTTTTTTAACAAAATTTTTGATTTAAAAATTTATAACTTTAAAACAAAAAAACATATCGAAAAAATCCTACGTCATGCCATAGAGGGCATTATAGAGAAGCTGTGTAAAAAATTTGAAGAGAATCGGTCCGGCGGTTTTTGAGAAATCATGTACACCGTTTTAAAAAACGTTGTTTTGAGAAAAACGCAAAAGAAGATAAAGAAAGTACTCTACGGTATACCGGCAGCGCTCACTTCTAATGGCTGTAGAATCCACAAGTAACGAGATATTTTTAAGCCCGATGTCTTAAAATGACCGTAAGAATATCAGCATCAAGATTGATTAAAAAAAAAAAAATTAGATTTTTAAAAAATGTCAGGGTGGTCTACCCCCTTAACAGCAATTGCTCTAAATTCAAATCAAAAGCAAGTAATTATGAAGTTTTAATGGATTTTAAATATTGAATTCTCATTATTTAAAGATTAATTTAAAATAAGAAATATATATTGCACAATTAGAATCAATTTTTATGAATTACTTCTCAGAAATGTATTATTCCCTTACTTAAAAATGCCTAATACCTAGTATAAAACAATATCTAATGAATATATGCAAATTGCTATACAATTCACAAATTTCACTCCCAAAAAGTTTATCGAGTTTTTTGAACAAAATTCTTTAAAATTGAATTAGCATTCGAATTGGACTAATTTCGCACATATGCACAAATTCGCTTTGCCAATTTGCAAAACGGAACACTTTATGAGTTTGACACAGTTTTCGAAAAAAAAAAAAATACAAAATACAAAAAAAAAAAAAAAAAAAAAAAAAAAAAAAAAAAAAAAAATATAAAACAAAAATCCACTTTAAAGTTGAGCCTTTTTGACGCGAATGGAGAAAGTTTATATGTTTTTGTATGCAAATTATCGAACCAGGATTTAGGAAACAGAAACAGGACTAGAAGCACGAACAGTCACGGTTCCAGCTGATAGCTGACAGACAACAAACTCAACTAACATCAAATCGCCGCAGCCGGAAGCCAAGAAAACATCTAACAAACAAAAATAAATGAAGAACGGAACAAAAAAAAAGTAGGAAGAAGGAACACTAATGGAATTAGCGAGTGACGGCATTGCCAGGGCCATGGCCACAGGTTCTCGCTATTTCTTTTCGCTGCGATTCGATTTGGCGGCACTTTGGGGACTTCCCCCATGAAAATCCCCACCCCCGTTACAGCTCATACCGTCTCACACCATCCCCTTTCCCGACAAAAAAAAAAAAAAAAAAAAACACCTGCGACACAACATCACCATAACGGCCATGGCCTCGTGCACCTGACTTTGATTCCAATTCGGGGACAAAAACTCAAGTGGCTGGCACTGTTCGTTCTCGCCGCTTGTTGCTTTTTAAATTCCTTTCTTTTTGGCCAAAAGAAAAACACACACACACACAAAAGCAGCACTGAGCTAAATATTCAAGCTGGCTTTCAAGAGGGTATAATTCTTATAGATTTGGTTTTTACTTCCATATATTTTTTGACTCATTTAAATAACTAATTAAGTTTCAATACGGACTGAAAAATAAATTGTAGCAGCTTAGTAATTCTTTACATGACTTATCCATACAATATAGTATTATTAATTGGTATTTACTTAAGCTTTTGTGTCATTTTATTGGTTTGTCTTTTTATACTTATTTATTTTCTTTATCATTTAATTTCTTTAAAAGACACCCTACCAAGTAATTTTTATTAGTTTGGAGATATTTTCATAGTAATAAGTAAAAAGTATCTAATATTTAATATGATTTTTTGTTGCCTTTAAGCCATTTTTGTACAATTTTATTGGTTTTTATATATTTATTTAATATTTTTTGTACTATTTGAATTAATTTCTAGATAGGTTTTAGTTTATTAGAAACTGAAGTATGCTTTTCTGTTGCCTTCCAGAAATTTTACTATAAATTTATTGGTTTTACTTTTTAATGAATATTTTCTAATCTATTTAAAATTCGAATTTTTTTAAATGTTTTAATGCAAGTGAGTTTAAAGATACTTAGCAGTCTGTATATAGTATTAAGTGGCATTTAAATTAAGCTATTGTTTTGCCTTAAAGATATCTTTTGACATTAAAGGCGAATGGGTGTAGAAACTCTAGATTAAAAACTAAGAAATTGATAATTAAATAAATTAAATTTTGTGATTTCTGTTAATTTCTTGAGCTAGCAATTGTTAAATATATATTTTGAATTTCCCAAGATAATATTAAATAAGATTCTTTCATAGATCTCGATTATATTCTTTTTAAAAACCATAATTTCTGGCCGTGCATTGTGGCACGCCTTTTTGGTTCCTTTTTTGGCGGCAGAACTTGCTTTATTTATACATTTACGTATATCTACTTTGTGACAGAGTCCTTTGTGTGACATTTATGCGCTCCACACACACCATACACATCACACTTTACAGACACACAGACATACACACAGCTGACTGATTACTCGACGCTGCTTTTGGGAAAAACCGTGATTTCTTTCGCCTTTCCTCACTTTTCTCTTTTTTATTTGTATTTTTTTCTCTTTTCGCTGTCATGTTACACATGACTTCAAATTCAATGAGCTGCGAAATTTCGCTCATTGTTAAACTTGGAGAGCTCGTTAGCCAGAGACATACACACACAGGACACACTCTAAAAAATAAAGGAGAATAAAAATACTTTCACGCCCCGCTCCACGAATGTTTAATGAATTTACGCTCTTTGCGCTTTTGAACTTTCGGGGCTGGCGAATTAGCGAACAAAAGCTCAGTGTCAAGAGCGAAGGACGCAGGACGAAGGATGCAGGATGCTGGAGCAAGCGGAGCTGAAGGAGCTAAAGGAACTGGCGAAAGGTGCTCGAGAACAAACAAGGACTCGAACGACAATGCACTCCTCTTAAAATGTGATGTGACTAATAGGGAACAGAATTTAAGGGGACCACACAGTGCTTAGTTGAAAATTATATTATAAATTGGAATTTATTTAAAGTTGAAGTTAATTAAAGTTCATATTAACAAAAGTTATTAATAAGCCCATTTTGAAGTCTGAATCTAAGTCTGATCGTTAAAACAACTAAAATATTTATTACTAAATTAAATTTCTTGAATTATGATTATGCGATTATAAGACGGAAATCCTTCAAAATAAATAAAGATGGTAGAGTAAAATAACTAAAATTTATTGAATGAGTTTCCTATCTTCTTCATGGTAACACTCTTACAAATTTTTACTACTATGACCAGTAAGTATCCATGATCAGTAGTTAACTTTGAACACTAGTAAACAATGACTTGCAACTTTTGTAACACAACACATATCTGAGACATGGCCGGCACTAGTCACTTCGTTCCGGGGATGTTAGAACCAGTTGGGAATCATATGTGCAAGTGCGCGAGAAATTTGAGGAAAAATTTTGCCATGGTTTATCAACAAAATTTACGGGAAAGCTCAAGGAAATTCGCACGTTAATTAGAAAAGTAACTTAGCAACTCAGAAAACAACGCCTTTAATTTAAGAAAAATAGATAAATTAACCCAAAAATAATATTTATGGTGGCTCGCCTGGATTTTATGCTGCCTTGCCATAAATTCGTGGAAACTTTTTTTAATATAAATATTAGGAATTAATTGCATTTCCCAGTAACTACAACATTTTAATGAACAACTCCTTACAATTTTAACTGGAAAAATCAATGATCAAATGCTTGCCATACAATTAAAGTGCCGGGAAAAGCTGAAAGGCTTAGCTGGGCAGCGATAATTTAACCAGGTCTCTGCTTCTTGTGGTCCTGCCAGTGGCACAACCCAACACACTTTGCTAAAAAATCGAAGGCACTTGAATTCATCTTTCTCTGGCTGCCTTTTTCCATTGCCGACCATTAAATGCAGATACGCGAAAGAGGAAAATCAAGGAAAATTCAAGGAGGAGAAGAGGTAAGAAAAAACAAGGAAGAGCAAAGAGGAACAGAAAAAATAACATGCAGGCAAATCAAATGCTTGGCTTTGTCATATATATGTATATTTATATAAATATACATATATCTATATAGCTTCACATATATATGTATATATATTTCCCAAACAAGTGAGTATATGACAACGTTTCCTTAGGTTCCTTTTTTCCCAAGTGCCACGCCTCAACACCTGCGCCCCAGCGAATCGAGCGGAAATTCGGTTCAAAGGATCTTCGCCAAAAAGGGAACAGGAGAGGGTTTTAGGTAGCGATATGGAGTAAAAATAACTTGCATAAACTTTCCCTCAAAGGACACTCACTCACTCACACGCGCTCACGTACGCCGAGAAGTGTGCTACAAATATGCTCATTACGTGAGCGCCACACACAGGCAGCACCCCACCACCCACACACCACTTCTCTCCCCCTCTCCCCTACCCCTTTGGTCCTTCTCCCATTCAGCGACAATTGCTCAATTTATTATTGCATACTTTGCGGCCATAAAACTTGGCTGACATCCTCCGCCGCCTCTGCCAGGGGCTACAGGCTTCTGTTGCATGTCCTTATGAAATATCTGTGCATATACACACACATATAATACATATATACGAGTGTCTATATAGTATATAGTGCACGGCTACAGGTATAACAAGCAGACTTTTTGCATTTGAAAGGCATAAACCATCAATTTGCCACTATGCAAGGCTTTGGAAAGAGAGAGTGAGAAAAACGATAAATGGGAAATTCAAGACATTTTCACTAAGCAATTTGTTGAGGTAAGTAAGCGGAATTATAAGAATATTATTTATAATATATATATATTAATATTATTTACATAATTCTTATGCCAAACTTAAGTTCTGCATCACGTAGCTTAGCAAATTGCAAAGAAGAATATTAATAATATATATATTTATATTATTAATAATATTACTATGCTTCCCCTGATTTATATAACCTCATAATCATTTGGTTTATGTTTTAAATGAATACATTCAACTTCAAATGATTAAAAGCAATGTCTTTTCATTTATTGATATTGCTTGTCAATATATTTGTTGTATTTATGTATTTTATTTAAAAATAAAAGAAAAACTTTAATATTCAAATATATATTTTGCATGTTTTTTTATGCGCATATAAAATGCATTATAAAGTTGTATATATATACAATAGCTTGTTTGCCTTGAATCAAAGCTTATTTGCATCGTTGTAGTTACAGTTTGTCGTTGCCATTGTGTGTGGCTCTTATTGTTATGGTTGTAACAATTGTTGAAACAGCTATTATTGCTGTATCTGTATCTGTACATCTGAAAGTTATTAAAATTGCTTTTGTTAATGTTCCCTTTTTTATACCCTTGTAAGGGTATTATACTATCAGTCAGAAGCTTGCAACACAGTGAAGGAGGCATTTCCGACCCTATATTTCATATATATTCTTGATCAGCATCAACAGCCGAATCGATCTAGCTATGTCCGGCAAAAAATTAATTTTTTCAAGATTTTGAAAATTTTATACATCGTTAAAAATTTTTACATCGTTAAAAATTTCAAAATGGAAAAAAAAAAAAAAAACAATTTACATTTTAAATTAAGTATGCAGATGTATTAACATTTCAAAAAGTATTACAGAACAGCTGTCCGAATTAAAATTAATGCACTTTTGGCTGAGTTATGATATTTGGAAAACTCTGATTTATCCAAAACATTAACATATAATATTATCGATTTAATTTACCTAAAAATAGTGGAAAACAAATATCAACAAACAAATTAACTGATTTTTATCAAGTGTATAACAACTTTGGCTTCATGGAGTTATTTCCTATTTTTGTAAATTTTTTCCACAGAAAAAAAGGAATGAAAGCATTTTTTATTAAAAAAAAACGGTTGATGTTGCTCTTACAGTTTTGATTTGGGAATTACTTGTAGCGAAAGAGTTTTGGCATTTATTCATTCTCTATTGTATATTCTCATTCTCTATTGTATAGTTTTTTATAATAATTTTATAA